ACAGCGTGCACGGCAGTGCGTTGTCGTATCTCCTTTCGTGCTCGTCGACGTGAAACACGAAGTAGTAATAGAAGCGCGACGATGACGAGGGCTCGTCGTATGAATGCCTGATCGCGCGGTTAGGATACAGGAAACCAGATAAATAAGAAGTCGCGAGTGTTCTCCGAAGGAATTACTACATACGTCGTAAACAAAGGACAATAATTAGTGCTCGATAATCGTTCACCGTCGCAACGATTATTATACTACACATTCGTATTAATTTCTTCTTATTTTGTTTTTTCATTTTTCTTCCCCATTTTGTTTCTTTTTCGTTATGTTCTTTTTAAAACCCGTTTACTTGCGCTCGTGAAAACCGTAAAGAGGGCAAGAGGAGAGCGGAAAAGTCGTCGTGTCGAAGAACGCTGATATCCAGGATTCAAGCAGTATCTGGTATGCTTCGAGGTCTTCTGGATTCTTTTTTGGGTACATGTTCCTAAATCGTTGAAATACGTTGGTAACTCGTGGCGAACTTAATTGCGTTCTCCCTAAAGCGTTTCAACGAGTTCTATCTTGGTCCACTTCAAATATTACGCGAACCTTGGTACCTTCTCGACTCACCCTTGTTTCGATATTTTCACTGAAACTATCAATAAATGTTACTGGCCTCGAGCGACTAGTTAAGCGAAAGCTGTACCACTAACTTGGTTAATCTTTCCTTCAGTTTTTTCCTTTTTTTCTGTTTTATAATACGTTTATATCGGATGATTCCAAGGTTCGCGTAGTATTCCACTCCCGGACCAAGTTCGTCTCCAACGCGAAACGCATAGTAGCGCTCTGATATTGTCTCTTCACGATAAACGGAACGAGTTAGCGTAATACTTCCATGTAGTTGCGATCGGCGAAGTAAGGGACAGGGTGTTCGGAGAGATTCGAAGCGAAACGAAACGAAACGAACGTCTGTCCCAGAAAAAAATCGGGCAAAAGGGTCCTGCTTGATCCTCCCAAATTCTTTCAAGGTCTTGTTCAAGCTTCACAAAGTGACTCCCGAAGTGTTCCCTCCGCCGTTTTTCTCTTTGTTCCCGTACTCTTCGGCTTCACGTTCGCTGTGATAGCACGCCGATACGTTCGCATTGGACACGTTTTCACGGATCAACCACAGCAAGGGTGGTGGGCTGACATATTTCGAGCAATTCATTCACTGTACATTGGTAGAAGAATCGAGGGTGAGTAACCAGACTTTTCGAATTTGGTTTCGCCTCGTGGTCGCTTCACTTTGTTTCTCTCGCATTTTGGGTTTCTCCCGATCCTGATCCATCTTCACTAGTGGTATCTCCATACGTGCCGATTCGATTTTACTTCTCGATCCCTATTCGCACAGCCGTTTACCCTCCATCTAGTGCTCACCTCTTGCCCAAAATCCCGAAAACAGGGAAAGATAAGTAAAACAAGTAGATGGCTCTTATCAAGCTTGACTAATCCTCACTCGTGAGCCATCGAGTACTAACAGTTTATTCGTGAGTTTCAAAGGTGTTACAGATACGATTTTGCAAATCGGTATGGGTGTGCAGTTGGTGTACGATTTAACGCGGCTGGTTTGAAAGGCTTAACTCGATGTCTGGTGATGCTGGTGGTGTCATTAACACGTGGATCATTTTGCACATACGCGTATCATGTGGCGGATATAATTGATTTATTTCGATCACGGTTATCATTCGAGTTTTGTAGTATCGTACGAAGGCTTGAGTCGGTCGTACTTTTTTTTCTTACGACTCGTTAACGATTCTAGTCGACACTCTGTTCCGCTGTTGGTAGAGGTCTAAGTATATTTACCGATTGAATTTCGCCATTTTTGAAGTCAAGTCGGTCTTGCGTTCAACGACTAATTTTTCCGTGACTTTTTACCTTCGAACGTTTATTTTATGTCTTACTGTATTTTACATCGTATTTTACTAGCTATAGGAGTACCTATTCAAGGATAGTTCAAGAATATTCGTAAATTTTTGCTCTCGATATCGAGGCGATTTTTGGAAAAAATTTAAATCGACTGGTTAGTATAAGAGAATAAAATTATCGCGTATTACCGTTATCTCGCAGATTACGTAAACGTATATATGACAGACAGTATATATGTTATAAGAGATATTTTTATTTAACAAGGATGATACTATTCATCGTCGATCATCGATATAATAATTCATTCTCTTATTCATTATGTATTAAAGTTAATTGCATCCACGATCAATCGCTTCTCATGAAATTCACGCATCTGTATTACTCGTTTGCATGACGACCCTGGGGTTCATCGAAGTTGGACGATTAGTCGGAATCTTTACTTATGCAAACGGTAACTGCGTGTCGGATCGCGGGTAAATTGCATAACCAGGGTGAAGGGGTCGTTTGGTGGTGAGACGCTTTTTTTTTCATCCCTTGGGAACTGCATGCAGCTTATTTTCACGACGCGAGAATTGAGGGCCACTCCCCATTTCAGAATTTTCTCATAGTTTCGACACTTTAAAAGAACCAGACGAAACTTCTCGAGAATCGAGCAAACATTTCCTGCAGGCTGCACGTTCGTTCTCGGTTATGTCGTCTATGATGATGGAAATGCTATGAATCCTTTTCGATAAATTAGCATGGAATTTGCATTAGACGTAAACGGATCGATACCGAGTTAACGATGTCGGAATTGTGAAGAAAAAAGAAAACAATTAGATAAACTCAATAAATAAGAAAAAAGAGGTAGCGAGTGGCCCTTGGTGCTAGACCGGAAACGGGAGTCGCGAGCTGCTATGGGGAGAACGCGACAGTGCATTTTTAAGTATCATGCAAACCCTGGCCACGAGATTGCTCAGGATGCTGGATGGTATAAGATACGATCGATCTTCACATGCACAAATTTTGAAGGTAACGATAACAGAGGAGTCGTGCAGAGATCATCGACAGAGGACGAGAACAGTGCCGTCAACTCCAACGGTACCATGACGGATAATCCAGTCAGCTTCGTCGTCGGGGATCCCGACAACGATCCCTCTGAGGAATTGGAAGTGGAGGATAGCTTCCCGTCCGAAGGAAACGATTTGGCCTTAAACCAGGTGCAGTACAATGCGATGGCTGGCTTGATCGAGCGCCGCAAGCGGCTCAGGTGACTTTTTCTTCCATTTTTTTTTTTTCCCCCCCCTTTTTTTTTAGACTTCGAAGATTTTAGACTGCGGACAGGTAAAAATCGACGTTCAAAATATAGTCGCAATGGCTAAGAAAGGGTCTTCCTCGTTTGACCTGAGAAGATTCATCTGAGAATCCTTTCGATACAGGTGGCCATCTCTGATCTTCGATAGGAGAATCTTTTTGGAAAGAATCTGTTTGCGAGTTCGTTGAAAGATCGGATTTTATGAGGAACGATGAAGAGCGGGTAGAAAGAAGTTGAGAGATATAAATTCGAGAATTTTGATCAGCCAGGGAAGTAGATGGCTCCGTTTTAATCGAGGTGCCAGAAGTAACGTTGCTCGTTGGTGTGTCGGATACAATGTTTCACGAATCGTGACAATGATCTTTAAACGTTCTATACGGATGAATGGGAAGTTTCGAAAATCTTGGATAATTGTGATTGATTATTGTAATATTTAATAACTAAAAAACTAATATTCTAAGTTCGAAGTAAATACGTAGTCGTGTTTGGTAACATTCTCTCCCTGTTCCGCGCAATCGTGAAAATTTTTCATTTACGTGACCAATAAAGCATAATCGTTTCATCGGATCATTCGAACGTCGTTGAATAGTAATGAGAATACGTGATTGTGCAACACGAAAGATTGTCGTTGCACGCAAAACTTTTTCTCCTCGTTCTTATTTACAATTTTCCATTATTCGTCTCGTTTTTATCGATATACGATATAAAAGTGTCGTTTAGATAGGGATTTGAAATATTATGCTTCGTTCAGCACGTATATCCAGTAGTTTTTCTAATGTGCGATTCGCAAACAAATCTTCTCCTCTCGTTACGGCTGAACTTTTGAGAAATACTCGAATACTTTGATAAAACGTCGTGAGATGAGGACACGTAATCTGAATATTACGAAGTGGCGCTGTTGCAAAATGAATTTTCGAATAGGACAAAAAAGATCGCGTTATATCGTGGACCTTCGTTTTCTGCTATCACTCCAGTTTAATATTAACTGAGAATATCGAAAAATTTGAGAAAGACCTTGAACAATTACTACTCGCGCGATCTTTGATAATGCGGGCTAATCAATTGTTTTCTAAGTAAACCACGGAAATAGCGACGGTCGTGTAACCGCGCAAATTAAACATAATCGCGCGATAGGATATATCGTTAATCGACTAGCATATCAACGTATATCTTACCTTTGAAACTAGTCTGTATAAATGTTATCATCGCTCGTTAGTTTCCTTCATCGTTATAATTATTCGTGTTGATACGTTACGTCCGTATATTATAAATGCACTTTAATGACATCACGAACGTAACTCCTGATTCTCCCTCCTTGCACACGCACACGTGCATATACACACACCACGAGCAATTTTCTTTCCCTCTCTCTTTCGCCTTCTATTTTTATTATAATGAAGTACATGTATCATTCATAAATTTTTTCGAAATTTCCGCGTATAATTATGCTTTTTCGATATGGTAATCTGTACGGATTAGCTACCAGAGGATCTTCGGTTTAGCTGAAATAAGTAGAACCGATTTCAGAATAGTTGGCTAAACCACAACGAATCACAATCGTCGCGTGGAAGACTTTGAACCCTGCAGTATTTACAACTGTTATCCCAATGGTTTGAATTTCAAATAAGAAACGACATTCCCGAAGCACGGTCTATCAACGTCAATTCGATTGTCGTGAATAAAACAGATATAACATTGGGATCTTTAGACGGCAAGGATCTCGGACTTCATAATGTTAGCAAATTATATAATCGCAAAAAAGAAATGCAGAGAGAAAAAAGTAGCATACCTTGCAGTCCCGATACGACATGCATGTACGATGAATGACGTTCGCAGCGTTGAAATCGCATTGTGTTTTACGAAACATTCGACGAATCTGAATCCAGCGAACCTTAGGAATGATACAGATTCTTGGATTTGATGCTCCAGAAATATTCTTTCCTTTCCATTTGATCTCGCTCGATTTGTGAAGGTTCTTTCTCTCTTTCGTACTTCAGCGAACAAATTTTTCGCGAATTTTTAACGAAAGAAGCGTAATTGTTTCGCGGATGGAAAAGCAACGATCTTCTTTCGCGTCGTGTCGCAAGGAATTTCAAGTTTGTTTATTTCGAACTCGATGCGCCAAGTTATTATGAAGTTCAGCGTATGAAGCAATGGCTCGTTTGTGTTTACTTTCACATTTGACGAGACAAATGTGTAAAAGGGAATTTCGATGATCAATACGAAATACGCAATGGGCCCCGGTCGTAATCACGTTCGACATCTTATTACGATCCACTGGTATTTCTCCTAAGTAGCTACATCCTTGGAGGTCGTATTCATTGCTATCTGAAAACACGAAAGATGTGTACGGTTGCTTAATGAAAGTTCGTGGATTAAGTACGTTTGCGGCGTGCAATTTTCCAATTACCTTGCCACTGATGTCGCTATATTCAACCTGTTACGTAATCCTTTATTATTCTTTCGTTAATTTCGACCGGTAAGTAGCGTGTCTACGAAGACCTGAATAAAACTAAAAATTCGTCGTGATCTTGCTAGTCTATCGCGATTTGATTAATTTGTCGCAATTTTCTACCAGCTGCAACTATGCGCGGAAACTTATCGCGAAATTAATTTTATTCGACTTCGACGTAAAGATAGACGAAAAAAATTTATTTTCAAAAGAATTGCCACGGTTTTTATTCGAGAAAAAATTAATTCAAAAAGAAATCTCGCAGTTTCTACTTACGTTTGATCTCAAACATCTATTCCAATAAAGTCGCCGGCAATTTTGCTGAGAAATCGATCCCATGAATTTATTTCGAGAAACGTAGCCACAGTATTCATCGAGAAATTTATCACGCTCCAGGGTTTTCGCCTCGGAATTAAAATATTAAATACTAAAATATTAGTTTCGAAACGTATCACCATAAATGTACATTCAAGGATACGCGGTCTCAAACCGAGAAGCTAAATAAAAGGATCGAGACGTGTCCGGTATCAGAGTTTCGATCTGAGAAAAAGAAGATACTCACGTATCTCACGGCCGAAAGACGAACACTTATCACTCCTCGGTGTGTTAATCGGCGAATTTACGGTAGCCCGTGATTACGTCAAACGGTGGTCTCCGAATATCTCGGGCAAAGTTTAACGGAGATAGTACACGGACGGAAACGTCTCGCAGAAACAAAAGTAAAAGAAAGGCAAACGTCTCCAATTGGCCACTCATTTCTCCGTTTAGTACACGTTACTTCCTCGAGCAACGTGTTATAAGGTAGGGGGAACATCAGATGAAAGGTATATACCGTCCACGTTGCTGCTTGTCAGTGACCACGAGCCTTCTAAGAATGTTGGACAGTGATTTTAGTCGCTTCCGGGCCACCGTCGTTCTCTGTTCCCGATATGTGAGTCGAGTGTCATCGAATCTGTGTCATATTCCATATTCGCGCCATAAATCGATACAAAAACGTATACCGAAGAGTCATCCATCCTGTCCATGAAAAATCGGTGTCAACGATACCCATGTCGATGAACCAAAAGCATCGACAGACCTAAATACCAGCTGATAGTTCTAATCCGATGATTCTCTGAACGAAACTGTATACTCTTAACGAATCTCGAATTTTGTGGATCGATGACGACAGTCTCAGCCTTTTTCATTCTACATGCACGCAAATGTTCGTCTCGACCTTCCGTCATGCAAACTCGTCGGATTGTTAATCACCTGCGAACATCGTAAACGCTGTCCTGTATCTACCCGCAGAGAAATTGGCAGCGTGACAACGAAACCAAATTCTGACAAACATGTGATCGAGACCACTGGGATGTATCGTCGATCGTCGACACGCTTGGACACCGTGTCTAAGCAGAACGCGATCCGTGATCTACGATGAGGAGATCGGTGAAAGCGGAAGTTAGCAATTTAATACAGATCCTTCTGATTCCTGGGAAAATATACGCGTGTTTTTCTTCGAACAAACGTTTGTCGAACCTCGTGAAAGGAAATTGGTCGTAAGGTTCGGGAATAAACGTGTTTAGATCGACGGAAGTATCAATCATCGACGACCTCGCGAACCGGTATTCGATCCGGAAATGAAATACGGCCTTCGAGTTGAACGTCGTATAAAAGTCGACATCGTCTAGTAATTAAATAGTGGTGCAAGGTAAATTTGGGGAAAAACTTCTGAATTTTAAGTGGAAAGATGTTAAAGTGGAACCAGGAATACTCGACGGAAGGCTTTTACGTGTAAGATGGTGAGAGACGAGCGGGAAAAATAGTAGAGGTAAAGCTCGCGTAGGAGGAAGTTGTAAAGAATCGTTGATATGGAATCATAGTGGAATGGAAAGCGACGAGGGATTGTTATGGGTTTTTAACGTGGATTCGTTCATCGTGATAAGAGTGTCGATCGTGAAGCTTCCGATCGTCACAGGGATCGAATGTAAAATGATTACGAAATGAGACGGTTGAAAAGATTCGTATTGGCTGAAAGTACAGAAAAGGATCCTATTTGGAAGAGCTCCGACAACCTGATGGCTGGTACATCGAAAATAAACGTTGGAACTTCGACCGAAATGGCCGTGTCAGCGGAAACGTCAACAAAAGAGCAACAATTACCCAGCACTGGATTAACGTAATGCATTTCGTTGTATTAGAATTTGTTTGATTAATAGATTAGAAGAAAAGTCTAAAAAGTATCTTGAATTCGGATTTGGATTCGAAATTGGTTAACGAACTTGTCTACAAAAAGAAAACTAACGCGTTCGCGCGGTAAAAGATCGAAGAGAAAAGAGAGAAACGAACAGGTAAATGTTAGAGCAATGAGTTAAGAAATAGTACTTTACATTTAGATTTCGAATCGATTAACGTGTTCATCGATCTGAGAAAATAAATTACGCGGTAGGAAAAAAGGGGAAGAAACGTACAGGTAAATCACTAGGAAACGAGTAATTTCCTCTAGTAGTTTGTCGAAATATGAATCACAGTGACACAGAATCTAACGAGCTATATCTCTTCGTCGTACATTCACGTTTAGTATGAATTAGTATCGGAAACCTTTCCCTGAATTTCGCTGACGTGCGACATTTTTTATTTCCGAATTCTGTCGTGCCTACCAAGCTAGATCCTTGAAGTTTCGAATGTCAGAATCCCGCGGAAAGATTGGTACACACCGTCGTATCATTGTTTCGTTGAAAATTCATGGACTTTGCTCGTTGGCCTTCACAGAAGACGGTCCTTCTTCCAGCAAACAGTTGTCTCCAGTTATTTCTTTTCTGCTCGAACGTTGAACGAGGAACACTTGTGCGAAACGGGAGACATGTCGCGAGAAATAGATAGTAGACTCCAATTATTCTCAATTTCCCTGTTTCCAATTATTCCTCTGTTTAAAGGTTTAAATTGTAGCGTTTTCGTGATCTAACGTCGTCGTGATCTAAAAGAACGAAAATCTGTCGAGTTTAGACGCCATATTTAGAAAACGAATCGGTAGTTACCACTTATACTCCACTAGGTACGATCGAGTCATTCACGGAACGGAATTTCTTTTCGATTCATCAACGTTTCCGTATTATTAATTTTTGTAACGTTTGTAACGATTTCGACAGCTGACTTAAGCATAACTCGCGAATTTTGGTATAACAGCCATCGTGTTCGATTTCGCTGTAGAGGATTCAAGGCGCGTAACTACAAACGACGTTACTTACGGAGTGACCCGATAATCCCTGGACATATACACCATTGGACGGTGGATCATAAATAGTAAATCGGTAATCGTTCACTCTCGATCGAAGGATAATTCCGAGAAGCACGTAAAGTCCTTTATTCCTCTCTTCTCTACGAGTGTCAACGAAAACGAGTAAAACGATGTTCGAAATTTGCCTTTTCTCCGTAGAGACGTTGAAATACCGATGATTATTACGACATCCTGTAAGATAGTGGCCGCGTGAATCCACGTGGAGTCGTTTTCGATTCTTGTCATACGTTGCCGGAGGTTTTTGTTACACGCGATGCACGGGAAGAGAAGCAACGCGTGCGTAGGAATAAGAAAAATGTATCTAGGCGAGATACATAAGTAGAAGGTTCAGAAAGCGTTACGGAGTTGTAGGAATGGCATTGCGTGAGCCGCTTAAATTAACGGTTCGTATACTTTCTCTGCTGTCATTCACGTGTTCCTCGCTAATGGATGATAAAAATCACCTTGAAATATCTAGGGAAATACCTGTACCGACTTGACATATCTTTGTCTCTATCTTTGTCTCTTCGTCTGCGTATCGGTGCCATTATTTTTTCTTTTTTCCTCTCTTTAAATTAACGAAAAATAGTTCGACAACAAGTAAAAATAGGTAAAATTTGGGATAACACGGTGAATTTCCAAGCGATTACCACAGGTTCGTTGGGATTCTTCGAGTGTCTCGAGATTAGAATCAAAGTTGATCGTTAATGGTGCAATGGTTCGATCTAGGACGGAATAGTAACACGTGGATCGTTTGATTTCATAGGCCCAGCATGTCACAGGGCACGGTGATGATACAAACCCAAAATCGGCTGTATGAAAAGGACTTCACCATTGCCACACCTGAGGAATATGTCCATCGTTTCGGCGGTACGAGAGTCATCAACAAGGTAAGAACCACTTCGAATCATCCCTTTCGTGGTTCCCATTAGACTTCGATAAAATTGTCAGTCTCCCATGATAAAATTACGAGACAGGTAGATTGTTCGTGTATAAATCAGAATCGCGAGAAACACTGCAGTTTAACGATTGATTCACGATCAACGTTGGCGTAGATCGTTGTGAATCAAAGGAGACTTATCGTTTCGCGTATGTAAAAAGAAATCCCTTGAACGTTTTAAATCGTTTGTTTACCACTAAGAATACGACGACTTAACGTGTCACTTATCGGCAATTTATTAATCTGTTTTTCTACGCCATCGCTTAACAACTGAAAGTTTATTTGTTGACCGATGCAGACGTGCAATTTTTCCCCTTGCGATCTCATTGCGATATATCTTTTCTCTTTTCTCGTCAGCTAAAAACAAGATAGGATACACCGATCTCGCGAAATCGTGACGGAAAAGATCGCACGTGTATGTCGGCCCTTAATCGGCTTTGGAGTATCGGCGCTTATTAAACGATTTAAAAAATCACTTTTCAATTTATTACCGCGTTTTAAGAAATACAGACTTGCGAGAAAATTATTTAAAATCGTTAACGACCAGTTCGGAAGAATAACTTTGGATACAGCGATCGTTAACGAATAAAAGAGTGAATCAAGGTCGATGAGTGATGCGTTAATGAGGATTGTTGTTTTCGGGTCTAGAAAAAGTAGGTATTTAAGCAACATCAAATTTTAAACGTTAACGCGGATGTCGATGTGGGATTTCGTGATAGAAGCGATTGATTTCTTGACAGGAAATACAGTTTAAATGTACAATGATTTTTTTCTTTTTTTTCCTTTTGAGGATATGATACTGTATTTGTACTACATTTAGAACGCGTTAGGTGATCGTAAAATAAGTAAGCACAGAAGGAGGTCATTAAACGTGCAGATGTATCGCGTTCCGCTTGAGTATGTCACGAAGCACTCACCGTACAGTTTCGCAATAATCGTTGAACGACTTTAGTAGTTGACCTCGAACGACCTTGGATGATCTTGAATGATAGGCTATCACACCTGTTCCGTCGTATTTTAGCATAATCTCCATGTAGCATGAGGATCGTTCCGTACGAGACGAATTATCTTACCTCGGGAGTGCCCTTGAAATTTCCAATCAAAATTGAAGCAACATGGTAAAATCCCATTTTAAAGATTACTTAGCAAACGATTTTAATTTCGACTACTTCTCGCCGTCGTAAATTCGATTCGTTGTTGTTTGAATTTTATCACGTTACTCGATACGTATCAAGAATGATTAATCGCCGTTAAGCCTATCTTATACCCTTCGTATCCTCGTCAGTTTGAATTTGTGCCCGATACGAGTAAAATATTTGTATATTTTACTTTTCAATTGTCACCGCCAGTGGATCGTTTAATAACATTTTCTACTCCGAATTCTTCCTGTATATGGTTAGTATCTCTATAACGTTGAAATTTCACGCTTGTCGATAACGCGTGGATGATCGATGCGTAATAAGAAAGCTTTTCGATTCGTAGATTCTGATTGCGAACAACGGAATAGCGGCCGTAAAATGCATGCGTTCGATTCGACGATGGTCGTACGAAATGTTCAAGAACGAACGGGCTGTACGCTTCGTTGTTATGGTGACTCCGGAAGATCTGAAGGCGAACGCGGAATACATCAAAATGGCAGATCAGTACGTACCTGTACCGGGTGGAACCAACAACAACAATTATGCAAACGTGGAGCTAATCGTAGACATTGCCGTACGCACTCAGGTCCAGGCAGTGTGGGCAGGATGGGGTCATGCATCGGAAAATCCGAAATTGCCAGAATTACTTCATAAAAATAATATGTGTTTCATTGGTAAGATAATGAAAACGTGGCTCAATGTTATTCCAAGGTATAAATTTTGTATAAAAAACGAGTGGTTGTAAGAAAAAGTGATAATCATTTCTTAGGACCATCCGAGAGAGCGATGTGGGCCCTTGGAGATAAAATTGCATCTAGCATTGTAGCACAAACTGCAGATGTACCGACACTTCCCTGGTCAGGTTCGGAATTAAAAGCGCAATACAGTGGAAAGAAAATAAAAATATCTTCGGAACTTTTCAAAAAGGGGTGCGTTTCGACGGTGGAGGAATGCCTGGCAGCGGCTAATAAAATAGGTTTTCCTATCATGGTGAAAGCTAGCGAAGGAGGTGGTGGAAAAGGTATCAGGAAGGTCGAAAACGCTGAAGAATTGCCTACGTTATTTAGGTAAGAATCAACTTTTCAAATTAAATGCACGAAAATTAAAAGACTGGTCAGCTGCAAATGTTACATAAAAGATAGTTAGAAATGTCGTATATTAAATAACATTAACAATTTTCTTAGGCAGGTACAAACAGAGATACCTGGATCTCCGATATTCATTATGAAATTGGCAAAATGTGCTCGTCACTTAGAGGTTCAATTGCTGGCTGATAATTATGGAAATGCAATATCGTTATTTGGTCGTGACTGCTCTATTCAAAGAAGACATCAGAAGATTATCGAAGAAGCGCCAGCCGTAGTTGCTAAACCTGAAGTTTTCGAAGAAATGGAAAAAGTAATTACGAATCATATGTATATGAATAGGAAATATCTGATTTTTTAAATGTGAATTAATCGATGAGCATTATAACGAAAATTTTATTCCGTTTGGAAAATATTTTTGAAATATTGCTTCGTAATAGGCTGCTGTAAGGTTGGCCAAAATGGTTGGATATGTCAGCGCAGGCACTGTTGAATACCTGTACGACACTTCCGGGCGATATTACTTCTTGGAACTGAATCCACGTCTTCAAGTGGAACATCCCTGTACAGAAATGGTATCTGATGTTAATTTGCCAGCAGCTCAACTTCAAATTGCTATGGGGTTGCCTCTACATCATATTAAAGACATTCGCCTTCTTTATGGTGAAAGTCCATGGGGAGATAGCATTATTGACTTCGATCAACCGCAACATAAACCTCAACCTTGGGGTCATGTAATAGCAGCAAGAATTACTAGTGAAAATCCTGATGAAGGTACAAGTTACATTTTCTACAAAAGCTTGTACGTTATTTGATAAAATTATAGAATTCCACTGTAACAAATATATTCACTAGGTTTCAAGCCAAGTTCGGGTACTGTGCAAGAACTGAATTTTCGATCCTCGAAAAATGTTTGGGGTTACTTTTCGGTAGGAGCTTCTGGAGGTCTCCACGAATTCGCAGATTCGCAATTTGGTCATTGTTTTTCTTGGGGCGAAGATCGTAACCAGGCTCGAGAAAATTTAGTTATAGCTTTAAAGGAATTGAGCATTAGGGGTGATTTCAGAACCACTGTCGAATACTTGATCACGTTATTAGAAACGGAATCCTTTCAACAGAATAATATAGACACTGCTTGGCTTGATTTGTTGATTGCTGAACGTGTTAGAAGTGATAAACCAGATGTATTATTAGCAATAACATGTGGCGCGCTTCATATCGCTGATAGAACCATCACTGCCGCTTTTACCGGATTCGAAACAGCATTAGAAAAGGGACAAATACAAGCCAGTAATGATTTAGATAATGTTGTCGATGTAAGTCTATTTTTACATCGTTAGCTTTTGTACACACAGAATTTTCTTACAAATATTACAAAATTTAACCAAATTTTTCAGGTTGAACTCATTAACGACGGATATAAATACAAAATACAAACTGCCAAATCAGGCCCCAATAGCTATTTTCTTGTTATGAACGGCTCCTATAAAGAAGTAGAAGTACATAGATTGTCTGATGGTGGACTGTTGCTTTCTTTGGATGGTGCAAGTTTTACGACTTACATGAGAGAGGAAGTTGATCGTTATAGAATTATCATTGGAAATCAAACTTGCATCTTTGAAAAGGACAACGATCCTTCTTTATTAAGGTCACCGTCAGCTGGAAAGTTGGTCAGCTATTTGGTTGAGGATGGTGGTCACGTGAACGCTGGACAAGCTTACGCAGAAATTGAAGTCATGAAAATGGTAATGACAATAACTGCGAGTGAAGCTGGTAGTGTATTTTACGTTAAAAGACCGGGTGCCATTCTCGAGGCAGGTACCTTGATTGCTCGGTTAGAATTGGATGATCCGTCTTTGGTAACGAAAGCCCAAGAATACACTGGTCAATTTCCAGAAACTGCACCTCCAGCAATTTCTGAAAAATTAAATCATCTTCATGCTAAATACAGAACCGCTTTAGAAAATACTCTGGGAGGATATTGTTTACCAGATCCGTATCATATACCTCGAGTGCGAGAACTTCTTGAAAAGTTTATGAATTCCCTTCGTGATCCCAGTTTACCGTTGCTTGAACTTCAAGAAGTAATTGCAACGATATCAGGAAGAATTCCAATTTCTGTAGAGAAGAAAATTAGGAAATTGATGTCACTATATGAAAGAAATATAACATCTGTTTTAGCTCAATTTCCTAGTCAACAAATTGCTGCTGTAATTGATGGACATGCAGCAACTCTTTCGAAGCGAGCTGAGCGCGATGTATTCTTCTTAACTACTCAAGCTATAGTCCAATTAGTACAAAGATATAGAAATGGAATACGTGGAAGAATGAAGACTGCTGTTCACGAACTTCTTTTACAATATTACACCGTCGAAAGTCAATTCCAACAAGGACATTACGATAAATGTGTTTCAGCTTTAATAGAACAATATAAAGATGATGTGGCAATGGTAACGGCCATGATCTTCAGTCATAATCAAGTCACAAAGAAAAATGTCTTAGTAACGATGCTCATAGATCATCTTTGGGCAAATGAACCTGGTCTCACAGACGAATTGTCGAGCACGCTGACGGAACTAACGAGCTTAAATCGTACAGAACACAGTCGTGTAGCATTACGTGCAAGACAAGTTTTAATTGCTGCTCACCAACCTGCTTATGAATTAAGACATAATCAAATGGAATCTATATTTTTATCAGCGGTAGACATGTACGGTCATGATTTTCATCCAGAAAATCTACAGAAATTGATACTTTCCGAAACATCTATTTTTGATATTTTACACGATTTCTTTTACCATTCCAATCGTACAGTTTGTAACGCTGCTTTAGAAGTTTATGTTCGTAGAGCTTATATTAGTTACGAGTTAACCTGTTTGCAACACTTAGAGCTATCAGGTGAAGTACCACTTGTACACTTTCAATTTTTATTGCCTAATAATCATCCCAACAGGCAGAATCAATCTCCAATTAATCACAGAGTAGGAGCTATGGCAGCTTTCCAAGATATGGATCAATTTGTTCGATACTCTGACGAAGTTCTCGATCTCTTAGAAGATTTATCTTCAGTTACTTCAGTTTCAGCCAAAGTGTTGGAAGCAGTAGATGCAGCTGGTAGTGAATCAAGACTTAGTACATCTATAAACGTATCTTTAAGTACTGCAGAAGCTAGTGGTCCAGTGGAAATTGGCGAACGACCTGCAGAACCAGCACATATTTTGAGCATTGCCGTCCAAGAAAAGGAAAATCACGATGATACTGCACTGGCGAAACGCTTTGGAGATTGGTGTGCCACAAACAAAGAAGAACTAGTCTCGCGAAATATAAGAAGAGTTACATTTGCTGTTTTAAAAAAAAGACAGTTCCCAAAATTCTTTACATTCCGTCAGAGAGACGGTTTCGTGGAAGATAAGATTTATCGACATCTTGAGCCTGGTTGCGCTTTTCAATTAGAATTAAACAGAATGAGAACTTATGATCTTGAAGCCTTACCAACTTCGAATCAAAAAATGCATCTTTATCTTGGCCAAGCGAAAGTTGCTAAAGGGCAACAGGTTACAGATTATCGGTTCTTCATTCGTTCCATTATAAGACACTCTGATCTTATCACGAAGGAGGCCAGTTTTGATTATCTGCACAACGAAGGTGAACGTGTTTTATTAGAAGCCATGGATGAATTAGAAGTTGCATTCTCACATCCACTTGCAAAACGTTCGGAATGCAATCATATTTTCCTGAACTTTGTACCTACAGTTATTATGGATCCAGCTAGAATAGAAGAAAGTGTAACTAGCATGGTTTTGAGATATGGACCAAGATTATGGAAATTACGAGTGCGGCAGGCTGAGATCAAAATGACTATTCGCCCAGCACCAGGAAAATCAACGTCCATTCTACGTTTATGCATTGCTAATGATAGTGGATACAGTATAGATTTGCATCTTTATACAGAAACAACTGATCCAAAGACTGGTGTTATTCGATTTGAATCTTATCCTTCTTCGACGGCAAATGTTGCCTGGAGACCAGGGCCTATGCATGGTTTACCAATTTCTACGCCATATTTAACCAAAGATTATCTTCAAGCAAAACGATTTCAAGCACAAAGTGCTGGTACAACATATGTGTATGATTTACCAGATATGTTTAGACAACAAACTGAAAAGCTATGGCATAAATACATAGAAGAAAGGCCACAGTCTGATATAACGATTCCAAATCCTGTGATGGATTCTGCGGAATTAGTCTTAGAAGGTGAAAATTTAGTGGAACAGAAACGTCTCCCTGGGGAGAATAATGTTGGTATGGTTGCTTGGAGATTAAGACTTTATACACCAGAATATCCAATATCTGGCAGAGATGTTATACTGATTTCGAATGATTTAACACATTTAATTGGTTCCTTTGGTCCTAAAGAAGATCTAGTATTCTGCAGAGCATCGGAAAGAGCTAGACAGCTTGGTATTCCTAGAATATACTTTTCTGCAAATTCTGGAGCTCGCATTGGTTTAGCAGAGGAAGTAAAAGCATTGTTCAGAATTGCTTGGGAGGATGATAGTGAACCAGAAAAAGGATTTAAGTATATATATTTAACACCGGATGATTACGCGCGTTTAGCGCCGCTTAATTCTGTGAAAACTTCACTCATTGAAGATAAGGGCGAATCTCGTTACAAAATTACCGATATTATTGGTAAAGACGACGGTCTTGGAGTAGAAAATTTAAAATATGCTGGTATGATTGCCGGAGAAACATCAAAAGCCTATAATGAAATAGTTACAATTTCCATCGTTTCCTGCCGGGCTATCGGTATCGGTGCTTATTTAATACGTCTTGGTCAAAGGGTTATCCAAATAGAAAATTCTCACATCATTTTAACCGGCTATAAAGCATTAAATGCTGTATTAGGTCGTGAAGTATATGCTAGTAACAATCAATTGGGTGGTATACAAATTATGCATAATAATGGAGTATCACATGCAACTGATGTAAGAGACTTGGAGGGTGTTGCCACTGCTTTAAGGTGGTTAAGTTACTGTCCCAAATATAAGGGTGCACCTCTTCCTATATTGTCACCACCACTTTCTGATCCAGTTGATAGAGATATCACTTATGTTCCTACAAAAACAGCTTATGACCCAAGATTAATGCTTGAAGGTAAAATACAAGATGGTACAAATTACTGGGATAGTGGATTCTTTGATCGTGGCTCTTGGCAGGTATATCTTATTTTATACTAATATTATCTATAAATATTATGTACTTAACAATTTAGTTTGAATAAATAAAAGCTAAGATTTCCTAACTATTAATATTATTTATAGGAAATAATGAGACCTTGGGCTCAAACTGTAGTAACAGGACGGGCTAGATTAGGTGGAATTCCTTGTGGTGTCATTGCAGTAGAAACAAGGACTGTTGAATTGCATTTACCTGCTGATCCGGCTAATTTTGATTCAGAAGCTAAAACGATATCTCAAGCAGGACAAGTATGGTTTCCTGATAGTGCGTATAAAACTGCTCAAGCTATTAAAGATTTTGGAAAAGAAGAACTTCCACTTTTTATTTTCGCTAATTGGAGAGGATTTTCTGGTGGAATGAAAGGTTTTTATCAATTTTAAATAATTATGAAAACTTTACATTTATTACTTTTTGGATTAATTACTAACGATATGTCGTGTATAGATATGTACGAGCAAATTATCAAATTCGGTGCTTACATTGTGGACGGATTAAGAGAATATACCAAGCCAATATTTGTATATATTCCACCAAATGGAGAGTTAAGAGGTGGTGCTTGGGCTGTTGTTGACCCAATGATAAATCCTCGCTATATGGAAATGTTTGCTGACAATACAAGTAGAGGTGGAGTTCTAGAAGCTGGTGCAATAGTAGAAATAAAGTTTAGAACTAAAGACATAATTAAGGCCATGCACAGGGTTGATATAGTGATTCAGAAACTTAAAGTAAGTATTCTCTGTTATCATCATAAAAATTAATTTTATTTATCTTCTATAAATGATAGGCTATATATTGTATATTTACTAACACATGAAATTAATCATTGTTTTAGGAAAACTTATCTAGTACAAATTCAACTGAAGAACGAGCAGAAATCGAGAGTCAAATACGTAAGAGAGAGCAAGCTTTAGAACCTATGTATCGCCAAGTTGCTGTTCACTTCGCGGATCTTCATGACACACCAGAAAGGATGTTCGAAAAAAATACCATTCACGATATTATTCCATGGCGAAAAGCGCGCAAACTACTTTATTGGCGACTTAGAAGAAGACTTTTGGAGGATGAAATAAAGAAGGAAATTCTTTCAACTCAACAGAATTTAGATGTTAGACAAGTGGGTGCAATGTTGCGTCGATGGTTTATAGAAGATAAAGGTGCCACGGAATCTTATTTGTGGGATCAAGATGAAGCTGCAACGAATTGGTTAGAAAGTCAACATAAAGATGAAAATAGTGTTGTTTCGCGTAACATCACTTGTGTAAAACAAGACGCAGTTGTTTCTCGAATAAAAGAAGCTCTTGAAGCTTGCCCAGAAGTGAGATTGAATGCAATTTTAGAAATTGCACACAGACTACAGCCAGCAGAACGTGCGGAATTGCAAAGAACTTTATCACAGATAGAAACGACCACACAAGTACACCACAATGATTCAAGTGCTTCGTCCTAATGTTTCTTGAAATTGAAAAAAAATCTCTTGTCTATCTGCGTACCTGGTGTATGTAGTTATATTAGAATTAATTGTACAGACATTCGTTATTCTTGTTAATAGCAAATTGTACGGGAGTAGTATAATTTTTGGAAGATTAATAATTGTTTCTATCGATAGCGTTACTTGATAGAAAGTAAACGAACTTGTGTCTTATACAAGTTCAACGGTGATGCTATCGAGTGTCAGACAGTATCACTGCCATCTCCTAAACCGTGGCGAAGTGTGCCCTTTGTTTATAATAAGTGTATTCATGAATATAGAAATTATATTACATGTATATACATGTGTGTGTGTGTGTGTATACAGGTTGAGCCTCGTAATATAACGACCTCAAATAATTCATAAAATATTTGTTGTACGAAATAATGTTTCGTATAGATGTTACATGGTTTCCAGGGTGACATATAGTATGTAAAATAAGAACGTATCCTAACCGTTGGATCGGACATGGTAGTAATATCATTGTTTGGCCAGCTCGCTCGCTAGATTTAACACCGCTCGATTATGAAGAAAAACGAAGTTTATCGCGAGCCTTTAATGACAGTAGAAAATATTAATCGTACATGTTCTACAATAACAGTAGAAACTCTTGAGAAGGTTTCTCGCTTACCGATGAAAAAATTACGTACTTGAATTAATTGTAACGAGCAGCAATTTGAACATCGCTTAAAATAAAATTTATTTTGCTAATATCTCAGGAACTATGTATTTTAGACCCGATTTGGAGTAATATCTTTCTATGTAGAATTCAACGTTTCATCCGAATTCGGGAAGAAATGTTAACTGTTTCGTCTAAAAAATTGAAGGTGACCTTCATATCTTGATAAAGAAGCAAAATAACATAAAATTGATTAGACTATTATACGTTCCCTTGGAAACCATCTATATGAAATATTTTTTTATAGAACAAATATTTTATGAGTTATTTGAAATCGTCATGTTACGAGACTCACCCTGTATGTGTATATATGCGCGCGCGTGTGATGTGTGCGTGTGTGTGTCGCGTGCGTGTATCCACGCGCGCGTGTGTATATATATATATGTACATGCATACATACATTATATATATGTGCATGTATGTATGTATATATGTATGTGTAATATATGTGTGTAATATATGTGTATATATATATATGCATCATTTTTTAGGAAAAAGAATGTTCGTTGTGTTTTGTTTTACCGAACGACTAATATGTACATCAATATTTTCCATTTTCGTCGATAAAAAAGATCGATAAATAATTTTAAGGTATTAAGTACTATATTTTCGATCATGGTACAAACTATAAAAAATTCTGTGCTTTTTAGGAACAATTTAATACGTATAAAGGGATAGATCATACAAAATTTTATGATTTTGAATGTTTAAAGGAAATAAGGCATTTAATAAGGAATAGTTGCTAAATGACATTTATACATACATATATATTTTATACTATTTTTAATTCATCGATATCAAGGTCAAATGTATATTACAAGCAGTCATATCGTTAGAAACATAAAAAAGAAATTCGGAATACTCCGTTCATTCGTGTCATTGTCTTTAAAAGACTGGTATCTGACTTCGATGTACATCAATTAAATCATCATCTAGGGTAAGCAGTACCATAAAGGAAAAAAATAGCGCTATAGCAGACAGGAAATGCCAAATGTCATGGTTGTCAAAAAAGTCTAGGAGGTTGCAGGGTTTATTATATGTACGCGATTGTGCTGGCGTATACTCCCATGAAATAGTTTTGTTTATAAAAAAATATAAAGCAGCACTCCAAGACACAAATGATAAAAGAATATAAATCAATGGTCGAAGTAGAACTCGTTCTTTATGAAAGATCTGAAATATTACAAAATAGATTAATTAATAATATATAGATAAACTATATAAATATAATTATTCATGTATATGTACATACCTTCATAATAATATAAAAAATAATATATAAAACTAAATTGGACAATAATATAATTAACAAAAATGTTTGAAAATTGTGTATGTGAAACATATTCGCAAATACTGCGAGAACACCGTTACATAAATTTGCTACAACAAGCATTAGAAAGCGTCCCAGGTACAAAGGTTGAAACAAATGTCTAATTCCAGAACGAGCGTCATGTTTATAAGACTAAAAAATTATGAAATTAGTAATAAATTGTGCCTAACAAAATTAACTAGATGAACATCATTAATTAGAATATCAAATTTAAATACGTAAAGATACCTGTATTACTTTTACTACCACTTGTTTACATTTCCATCGTCCCATATAGTAAATTTGAATGGTCATATATAGACAAGTTAAAAGATATATGATCGTAAAAGTAATCCAAAAGTATATTGAAGTACTCTGCTCTCCTATCAATCCTATGAAGATAATCAATGCCAAAATTCCAAATGTAACTGATGCTCGAGCATTTATATCCGGGTGACGAGTTTGATAAATCTTAATCATACATAACACAGTTATGATGTACATAAAACTCGTATCTAAATAAATGATATAATCTTTGTCTTAATAACATAAAAAGAAGTTAAAACATTCCAATACAAATTCATTTTTTTCTTACCAAATTGAAAATTACTTCGATTTGGACATATATGATAACATCCTGAGAGTATCCCCTCCATAACAAGCGCAGTGCCCATTGCATAAAATAATCCATAATGTTGTGGTATACCATAACATTTATTTTTTTCTCTTTCAAATTCATTGTGTTCTCGACAATATGTTAAAAATAAAAACAAAAGACCCAATACAATGTATCCAATATTTGAAAATACATGATTGACATCTGATAGTGCTCCAATTGGATGAGCACATAAAAAATTATAATAACAGTTATCTCCATCACCAGTAATATCAAGTATATACTGATACGTAAACACTAATTGTATAGCAGGTAAAGTATAGAAAATAGTAATTGTTATCAAGTAATAGAAATATAATCGAGATTTATGCCTAAGAATTTTTGGATCTTTACGAGCTAAATCACAAACCGAAAGTACACGTTTTGTTCGTATAACTTCCTTATCAGAAAAAGCATCTTCCATTACATCAATATCATCTTCATCTAGCGAAGAATCTTCATCTATAGATATGGATTGTTGTGGAGCAATCTGCAATGTAATTAATGTATTTAATCAAAAGATTTTCCAATTTCTTTTATTACATAATTAATGTATTATTTTACCTCTTCTACTGTTGAAGAACTTGGAATAGGTGCATCAATATGCTCTGACTGATCATATAATAATTGTTTAATTTCTCTACCTTCTTTAATTTTTGATACCACAATGCTTACAGCATAGATAACGCAAAAACTAAAAATAACAAGTACCACTAATCCTGAAGCAATAATATAGTCTCGTTTGGTAATACTAGCTTTTATTGTTAATATCACATGCTTAACTCGTAGAGGATTCATAAAAGGAACTCCATAACAATCTGTATCATCAGTTTTTACTGTAAGTACTACGAAGAAGCCCAAAGGGTATTTTTCTCTCTAAAACATATTAATGCAACTTCAATTCTGTTTTCAAAGAAACTAAACATTACAACTACCGAATCATAATGTGTGCTTAAGTATTGTATATATTAAATAATAATAATTAAAGTGTTATATTGAAAATAATTTGATATATATAACTACATTTCTATTTCAATAAAAATCAACATTAATATTGCCAAAAGCAGTTACATATTTTGATATGATAGTTGTAGTGTTAATAACAAATATCAGCTTCTCTCTTATTTTATTTCTAATATAATAAATATATTAGAAGTCGTATTATCATTATATCAATAAAAATATTTACTGGTACAAGTATACCACCCTGTCGATTCACAGTTTGCCAAAAACCAGAAAATTCAATAGAGTCATCTAAATCAAATGCAGGACACTAAAAAAGATATTTAAAAATTGATAATAATATGTTAATTTAGTAATTATAAAAATTTAAACTTACTGACATATTTTGTATTGAAAGTATCATACAGATATCGCTACTAGACTTAACATGAACAATTACAAAACTTTCTATTTCTTCTGAGAAAGTGTAACCGTAATAAACAGGTTGAGATGGTGAAATTTCTATTGATCTGTTTTCTCCAAGGCTGAAAAAAGATCAAAACAAAAAAAATGATTAACATTCCTCTATCTTCATTGTAATTGTCTCTTCGTATTTATTTCATTATTTTAATTTTATTACAATATATAAAAAATACATACTTTAAATTAAAATGATTCTCTATTGTCATATTAAGCTTGAATAAAATATTTTGAATATTAGCAGTGGATAAAGTAACAGTAATAAGTTTTTCATCTTTTACTGTTTTATGTTTATATTTGGTTGGACATATAGTTCGACTTGTTTTGTTATACATTAAATTATCAAAATGTCTACTCTTAACTACAAGAGGGATTTGCCATGATAAGGTTTCTTTATTTCCATGAACAAACACTATAAGAGGTTCATCGTTACTAGCATTGCTTTCAACATTTATTCTTACTGTTTCCATTAAACTTATCTGAAAGCAACACAAGATTATATAATGTATAAAATATATAATAAAATATTATGACATTAATTTGTATAAAGATGTTTATACTTACATTTGTAACATTGTATAAAAACATATATACAACATCAGAATTTATGACATGTTTATATTCTTTGTTATAGTCTGCCATAACAATAACAGGAGAAAATGAAGATTGTAAAGGAATAGCTTCATGAAGATTAAGTGAGAATAGCAAAATAATTATCATTGAAATCACTTGCATACCTTAAATACTGATATATAATTATATTAATCACAAATAATATACAAGATATAATTCAATTATATTCTATTGATAGAAGATAAAACTATTGCTATTACTATTAAACATGAATTATCAGTTTAATGTTTATGAAATCCCTACTCTTAGATTTTTGACGATACATATTACATATACGATAGAATAGTATTAGAATAACTAAATCGGCTCACTTTGTGTTATGTTAATGGTTAAGAATTATTCTTTGTCTACACTAACGTATTATATCGTTTTTATCTATCTATTCCGATTGGTATCGATATATTTTGTTCACTCTTTTTGTCATGTAATATAATTTGCAAATATTATACTTTTGCATAGTAACAAAAATTCAGGTATTCGATATTTATAATTATATTTGAAAAATTAAACCTATTACATAGTACTAGATTAGCCAATAAGCAAATTAAATACGTATTTAAAACATTGGAAAATGGAGGTATCATAAAAATTCTCTAATTTTTTAAATCTTGTATGTACACACAGCAGTAATATTACTAAATGTTTGTATACATACGAAACAAAAAAAAAAAAAGGACATGACAAAAAGGTGAAAGAAAATATTACATCGGAGGAAGTTTGATGTATAAAAGACTATCAAAATCTTTTAACCCTTTAGGGCCTTTAAAAGTCTTAATCGGCCCTGGTATTAAACAGTGACCAATCAGGTTTACATTTTTCCATGCATCATCTTTTCATTTTTGCATAATACTGTATACATTTAACTACGCTATACGTATCATTCCTTATGTTGATTCATATTCTTTGATAAATATGATTTTCGAATTTTATATCAAATATTAGATATCGAATAAAAGAACAGAGAATCTATATTTAAAAGAATATATTCTGTTATATTTCGAATAAATCAAATAATTCAATATTAATTATTTCCCCTACATATTATATTTTATTATTTTGATAATAATTTTTGATATTCTATTCTTATTGCTTTACTGCGCAATATTATTGTATAATTTGATATTATTACTAGAAAGTAATATTTTAAATTAATCATTCATGCATAAATAACAATTATTTGTGTACAAACATATATAATACAACTATATTTGAATATTTTAACGAAAATTTTAATATATAGTTATAATATAAATTATATATTATATCACTAGGAAATAAGTAGCAACAAAACTAAACAAATACGAATTTGATTAACAAGAAGTATTAAACTTTATATAGTTTTTCGAAATAATAAATCTGCATGCTATTTGTATTCATTCTTTTTCTATTTTCTAATCATGGAGAATAATAAATTTTTTTTTTTCGTAAACAAATTTTATATTTTTAAATACTATAAAAATAAACTTTAATAATAATAGTAATAAAAGTAATAAAATAAAATAGTAATAAAATGTTTCTTTTTTTTTTAGAATAAATTTTGTATCAACTTAATTCATTATGCTGATTCGACTTTAGTCATTGTTATTAAAGATGGCGGTATCTGTGGCACCAAAAGATGTTAATACATATTTGAGTCAAAATCAAAATATTGCAGACAAGGAATTGGCTGCAGAATGGGCGCAACTCGAAGAATTATATAATAAAAAGTATTTTTTGTAAAATATTTTATATTACATACATATTTTAGTAAACAAAATTTATTTGGACTTCATTGTCCGGTGACTTGCAGGCTTTGGCATCAGTTAACACTCAAGTTAGAAACATTTGTCAAAAATCCAGCGTTGCAGAAAGAAGATAAATTAGTACAGTTATACGTAAACTTTTTATCTACATTTGAAAATAAGTAAGCACAGTATATATATTTTTTCGAAATGTTAATTCATAACCTCACTTATTCTCTTATATGACGATTAAAATCATCGATGTATTATTATGATTATACAAAATTTTCTTATGTTTAGGATAAATCCTTTATCATTGGTAGAAATATTAGCACATGTAATACAACAATTTCAAGATAAAAATGGAGCAATTAAATTTTTGGAAAAAACAGAATCTAAAGTTAAAAGCTGTAATGAAGCTGTTGCCTTGTGTAAAGTCCTTACAGGACAGATTTTGCTTGAAAAATTAAATAACCAAGAACAAGCAAAACAAATTATAGAGGAAGTAGAAGCTATGTTAGATAATGCTGATGGTGTTACAACAGTTCATGGTAGATTTTATTTATTAGCCAGTCGCCTTTATCGTCTTCAAGGAAAACATGCTGAGTATTATCGTACTGCTTTAAGGTATTGTTATAGTTATTAAATCTTTAACAACAGAGAATAATCATAATTCATTAATACATTTGAGCTGGTTTTTATATTTCAGATACTTGGGTTGTATTGATTTAAATAGCTTAAGTAGACAAGAACAAGAACAGCATGCATTCTTCCTTGGATTAGCTGCACTATTAGGTGAAGGTGTATATAATCTTGGAGAATTACTAGCTCATCCAGTTTTACAGTCCTTGAAAAGTACACCAAACTCTTGGTTAGTTGATTTATTACAAGCTTTCAATGCTGGTGATATTGTTGCTCTTGAAAAATTAAAGCCACAATGGAGCAAAGTTGCTGATTTAGCTGCACAGGAATTAAAGTTAAGACAAAAGATATCTCTTCTATGTCTTATGGAAATGACTTTCAAACGGCAAGCTAATAACAGGTGTGTGTGTTTTTTATTCTAAATATATTAAGGAACTAGATATTGTAAAACAGTCTATATTAAATTATTTTTTTTTATTATAGACAATTAACGTTTGCGGAAATTTCTCAAGAAACTCGTTTGCCTCTAGGTGAGGTAGAATTATTAGTAATGAAAGCTTTAGCTCAAGGTTTAGTTCGTGGTGCTATTGATCAAGTAGCAGGGACAGTAAACATGACATGGGTACAGCCTCGGGTATTAGATCGTACACAAATAGCTGGAATGGTTCAACGACTTGATGGATGGTGTAAAGATGTTAGTTCAATGGAACGTTTGTTAGAATCTCGAGCGTCCGAGATCCTTACTCTTTAATATTAGGTTTGATAATTTTTCATTGATTTGTTTGTAAGTTTTATTTTCTTATCTTTATTAACTCACTGACTTACCATTATTTTATAAATAAAAAGATATAATTTACTACAATTGATATAAATACATAATAATTATAAACAAAATAAGATTAATTTCATCATGATAAGTCAATGAGTTAATATAAAAGAAAGTATAAAATACATTTTTTTAAATGAAAAATTATAATGCTATTTGCAAGCGAATTAAAAAAAAAATAAATTTATTTTTATCTTAACATCTTAAAAGAAACAATTTAACACAATTTTTAATGTTTCCATAAGATAATTATTTGAATTTTTTGTGTTCAGAAACTTTGTATTGTGACCGAAATATTAATAATAACAATATATATATATATATATACATATATATATATACACATATATATATTAACATTCATCGCGTTTCTCTTGATTATTCACATGTACTTTAGATATTAATCATTTTGGATAGTACTATGCTGCTCCTACATATCCAACAATAAAATCATGAAACGTATACGTATTATATATTTATATAAAAATAAGAAAAAAAGAATAGGTGTATAGAATCAGATGTTTTAGCATTAAGCTAAAAAATTTCTAGAATAAACGTTCTATAATTTTAATTGTAATTATAAGGTTTATTTCAACATAAGTATCTATATGAAAATCATCATAAGTATTCCTTCTACGTTGTATTTTTTGCTTGTTTCCTAAAGCATAAATGTGGAAAAATACGAAAAAAAAATAACATTTGTGAAAGATTTTAAACATTAAAATAAACAATTAACAATAATAGAAGTCAATAAAACTTGGAATATAAATAATGTAGGATAAAATTATGTTAGATAAAAATACTATTGAAGAATGTGCAAAAAATACAGTGTCCTAAAAATATTTTGAATAACAATAGAAAGTAATAAATAGTAACCGTCCATGAATGTTAAATTATTACATTAAATAACTTTATTTTGTCATAATGAAGTTAAGTAATTTAGTATTCATTATTAATAAAGTGTCCTATCGTTTACAAATGAAATAAATAATACCAAAGTTTTCCATTATAAAAATGAAGTTTGTATTATAGTAATGACCATAATTATAATTTCAAATTACAATACAATTTAAAAAAGCTTATGTTTTAAAAATAGTTACTATCTACGGACAAAATTATGACTATATTGAAAATGCATAAATAACATACGAGCTGATTCACATGTATGGTCATGAGAGTAACACAATTGCATCATTTCGTGGATGTTTGTGTTCATCATACCTCGCGTTTATAGGTTATCTAAGTGAATGAATTTTCTTCTTTAGGATATATTTATCTTTTATTTTGTCAGAAAGGAGAAAACGAAATGAACTAACAATATATAGAGTTAGTAGTAAAAAATAAATATTGTAATTAACAAAATTATCAGTGATGTTTATATTCATTTATATAACTTAAAAATATTTGATAATAAAATATTTCAATAGAAGAATTAAATTTTTTGTAGTTTTAAAACCAATTCTAAAACAATGGATGAAAGTCCAATTTTAAAACGACCTAAACCATCCGATAATGAGGAAGAATTGTTTCGTATGCAAGACGAATTTCTGAAGAATAAACAACAACCATCGGCTAAAGTAATTAACTTAAAACAAAATGCAAAATCTTTAAATATTACATCTGCTACAGCTACTAACTGTCAAACAAGTTCTGGTAAAGTTAGATCCAAATTTTCTCAATTGAAAGATTTGCAAATAAAGAACAGGATTTTTACTTCTCAAAGTAGTGGAGATGTTATAAATCCTGCAACAAAAGAAAAAATTGAACTACAGGATTCTGTTCAGAGTATACCAATAGCACCTTCAAGAGTAATATTAGGAAATATTGTAGAAAAAAAGTATGAAACACACAGTTATCCACTTAATAAAAAAGTGTTATGTTCCAATACAGGTTTTCCTGAAGTTTTCATTTCTACACACATGGTATTTATCTTTTATTGTAATAAAATGTATAATAAAAATATTTCAAAATTATATAAATTCAAATTTTTTTATCTCTTTTCCAGAAAAATGATAAAAATCAAAGTTTATTTTACCAACAAATTTCTCCAAAAAACTATGTTACAAATAAAATAGAAAGATCTCAAAATTCTAAATCTGAAACTATTATTGATAGTAGTGTTATTGTAGAAGGACCATGGGCAGATGATATACATAAAGAAAATTTAGAACGATTAAGTCATATGAGTCAAGAGGATATACTTAAAGAAAAAACTAAACTTGAAATGACTCTAAAGCCAGAACTAATACAGTTTTTAAAAGATAAAATAATAAAAAAACAGAAAGTAAATAAAGCTCCAGAAAACAATAAAAAATTGAATGTTGAAGTCCATGATCAAAATGTAAAATCTCTGAATGTAGAAAAACTAACTGTAAAAGAAGTTTCCAGTAATCATAATGAAGATCTACTCAAAAATAGTAATATTATACCAATGCAAGTAGATGAACTTGAACAGAATATACCAGAGCTTTCCAAAGAATTAATGGAACAAGCAAGAGAAAAAGGTTGGGTACATATGGATTCTCTTGAATCTGAAAAATTAAAATGGATGGAAGATATAGAGTTAAATAAAGAAAATGATCCTATTCCAGATGAACCATATAATGCTCGTTTTGATTTCAATGGTAATTTTCAAATACTAGTATATAACAAAAATAAAAAATATATTAGAAATATGAAAAGGTATATTAAATTTTTTATATTCTTTTAATAGGTGTATTATTAGCGTATAAAGACGACAATTTACCTATTGAAAAAGGCCTCCATCATCACGGAGAAGAACCTGAACGTCCTGGTTATTCTTTACAAGAATTATTACAGTTAAGTCGATCATCGGCTCAACAACAACGCTGTACAGCTCTTACAACATTAGCTAATATTATAGAAAAAAGTCGTAGGGGCTGGTACGATAAAATATTAGAACCTGCACCCTTGATTGCTCTAAGTCAAAGGAATCTTTTATTACTGCTAAGATTTTCTTTGGATGATACATCAATAGCTGTACTCACAGCAACTTTACAAGCACTTAGAGCTTTTTTATATAGTGAAGAGGATGAAGTTTGCTTGGATAGATTATATGGTTTCCAAAATTACAAAGAACCTGTTTTAGCAACACCAAAAACTGATGTTGATGATATAAGTATTTTAAAAGATCATGAATTAGCACAACTAGATGCAGTTGCTGCCTTGTTAAGAACTGATATACTGTTAAGAATTAGGTATGTTTACTAATGTCATTTTTAAATAAATAAACTTGTAATTACAGTGAAAAATTTGACTGAAAAAATTAATTGAAATTATTCACAGGTATATTTTAAGTGAAATGCGACCCCCACCAGTTGCTGTAGTTCATGCATTAGAAATTTTAATTAGACTCACACGACATTCGCCTATTACTGCTTTAAAAATTACAAATACTCCATATTTATTGGAGACAATAATTGAGAACTTCATGCCATTATCCACAGATGCATTAGGTGCATTTATTTCAGATACTAAAATATTTTATATTTAAATTTAATATTGCTGATAAATTACTAACTTGATATATGTCATAGCAATGGCAGATGTCATAAATAATGTTTATGGTGTCCCGGTGGTTGCTGCACTTAGATTTTGCCGCATTTTACTTTGTTATGGCGGAAAATCTGTTGCTCAAAGATTAAATTACCTTAAGATTGTACAGCGCATTATATTATACATCAGTTGTGATGCTGGGTAATATTTCACTTTATAATTTTATATAAATAAAAAGTTTTTTATAAGGTATATAACATATATAAATTATGTTTTTTTTTTTATAGGAAAGCAAGTTTTAATCTCAGTATTGAAAGTTTACGATTGTGGAAAACATTATTATTGCATAAAGAAGCTTTGGATAGTTTATCTGGAGCACAGTTAATTCTTATATCACAATTACAACTCCTGTTGAGTAATCATGATATTCAAAGTGCATCAGAATTATCTTGTGAATACGCAGCTGCCTTAATTGCAGTTGCAAGTTGTTTGACACCTTTAAAAGAAAATATATCAGTCTTGCTTACTAAATGGAGTATACAATTACTTTCTTTAAATAATGTTACGGTACGTTAAATAAAAATATGTTACATTACAAATACATGAACATAAATATATACAATATATTATAAAAAATATTTTTATAGTGGGGTAATACAAAACTTATCGCTGAAACGTTATTAGCAGTTAATGATATTACTGTAATTAAAACATTGAAAATATCTCGATCACAAGTATTTTCTAAACTCAAGTAAGTAGAAGTTAAGCATTTTCAAAATTTTGTCAAAAAGAATTTTAACGATTTAATTTTTACAGCTCTACTTCGAACTTGTTAAGTAACTGTTCTTTAGTTACTGAACGTGAACCTTCAGCATTACCTCATTTGGGTGTATTAGCTAATGATGGACAATTACAACCTGCAGTATCTCAACATTCTTGTATGCCTTTTCTTGCAATAGTTTTAAATGTATTCATCAATCATTCTTTTATAGAAGAGATTCAGGCAGTGCTCAGTCATCCACAAGTTTATAGATATTTAGAAAGATTAGAAACAATAGACTGGTATTTAGAAAGATCATGGTATACGAGATCTGAATTATTTTTTTTGGTTGCTCTAGTAAATGCAACTTCCTTTGTTGGAGATAAATTGGATAATAAGATGGTAAATATTATTTGGAAAGTTGCTGTTAAACTTGTATCATCTTTACCAGCCGACTGTCCTTTTGATGTAAAAAATATGTTTAGATTTGCACTATCAAAAGAGAAATTAAATTTGGAAATAGTAACGAATGAAGTAGAAAAATTAAATTTGAATTCAAATATTAAAGATATTAAACTAAATTTAAATCGCGATGTGTATGATTTGTATGAACGATATGTAGCATTAAATAGTACATGGGATCAAGCAGCAATGCCTAAAGATTGGCTTTATTTGCCTATTGTACACATTTATACAAAATGCAGAAATAATAATGCATGCAATGATAATGATAAAATTGTTATCTTAGCTGTACTAAGTTTAGAATTAATACTACCAAATCTGGTTGAAAAATTGTCACAAAGTTTAAGATTTAGTAGATTAGTACTTGTTTACTTGTGTGACACGTTATATTTAAATAACGATGTGTCTGTTTTACTTACTAGAGCCATTACAATTTTATTAAAAGATAATTACAAAAAACTCAATTTTACAATAGATTTACCAGGACTTACTTCATTTACGGATTTATTTACTGCGATGTGCGAACATTTTTGTTCAACATCCTATGGTGATTATGGTTTTTCTATGACTTTAATGGTACCAATTGCACAAAGACACAATGTTCACTATAGAAAACTATTATGGTCGGAACATGTAGACTTGCTTCGATATGTCAGATTACCATTGGAACAATCAGTTATTCCATTAAGAGAATATTTATATCCACTTGAGGATGATACATCTTTAATAGAAAGTTACATAACAGCCCTTGTTAGAGGAATTGTCAAACAAGATTGGTGCCCTATTCCTTATACAATTGCATTGCATCATTCTGCTATGTTTTTGAAACAAACACACAAATTAGCAATACGAATCAAAACTCAGTTAAAAGAAATATCTGACAAAGGCTTAATGGCTCTTTTATTAAATTATAAATCACCCACCTTTTAAAATTTATGTATAATTGTATTTTGAATTGTTCATTATTAGTGTTATAATAAACTTCATTGTAATTAATAATTATTACTAATTTAAATTTAAAAAGTACACATAACAATTTTCAACACATATAGCAATATAATGTATTAAAAATTTAATTTTTACATATTTGAATTATAATCTGTTTTTGGGTGTTCAACATGTTTTATAATTAAAAAATATTAAAAAGATTATTGAAGGATTAAATAATTTATTTCAGTCGATTGTAAATTATACAGATACCAATATTATTAAATAAGTAACTAATTATGTGAATAAAGAATAGGAACAATTTGTGTTTACATTTACGTAAAGAGGCACTGTTTGGTCATTTTCGGTAATTGCCATAATTTTCAATGAATTAGTGTTATAATTTAGAAAAAGTTATGATGTAATGACATACATTTGTATACATATATACCTATTTATGAAGGTTATATATATATATAGGTTATGTATATATATGTATATTATTTGCAAATTACTATTCATAAATAATAAGTTTTTATAATCAAAAATGTAATTTGTTTGTTTTTTTTTAATAAATATCTGAATTGATAATATGTAATATTTACATAATGATTCATTTAATAGCGTGCGAAAAATTTAGCTATATATTATTATCAATGATGCGATTATTTTAATATAGTATAAATATGAATATCTTTATAATAATTATTAAAATAATAGTTACATGATGATAATAAAACTATATAAATTATAAACAATAACAATTATAAAAAATTACATATAAAAGAATATATTTTTTATGATTTTAATAATTTTGATCCATCACTTTCTTGAAAGGAACATGTCTGAAACTTTTTTAAATAAAATATCGAGGTGTTAAATACACAGTAAGTTTGGTGGAACTCAACAGGTATAAATATAATGATTGTGACGGTAATTATGTAGTAATATTAATAGTTCAACATGCCTTGAACGGCACGACATTAACCATGATGTGCTATTGTACGTATATAAATTTTATGTTCAAGTACATTAAATTGCATACAATTCTTTTTTATAATAAAATACAGTCGGCAAATAAAAGAAGATAAATTTGAAAAATAAATTACAATCTTTTTATATGATTTGCAAGCAATTGATATAATTCATCAATTATGTAAACTTTCGCTCATATTAACAGTAATATAACAGTATACATATTTTTATTTGATTTATGCATGTTTTTATACATTTGCAATAATATATTGAATAATAAATTTATATTCGAACGGTTTATCATTTATAATTTTATTGTTGCAAATCTCAATATGTTTAAGTAACGCTTTTTTATGTTTTTATATATAATATCTACGCTAAGGATTTGTATATTTTATATATATATGTTTTTTGTATACAGGTGTAATATGTTAGCATAGTGAGAGTCTTTAAATTTACTTACTTTAATTTGCAATTTTTCCATTATTAGATGAGTAATTCCTAATTAATTTCTTAATCCTGAACGTTATTTATATTATAAAAATATTACAAGTAGATTTGGTATCGATAGTATTTTTAAACTGTCAGTAGACTAGATATCTACATACAACTTTCGAGTGTCGAATGAATATTATCCTAATCGATTCCTTAACGATTATGTTTCGTTAAACATGGCTTCTTGAACAACACATTTTACAGAATTTTGGAATATTGTTTCATATTCACGTTAAGTAAAATACATTTGTATTTATAATACGAATTCTATTTTCTATATCAATTTACAACAATCATATTATATATTTATAATTTTATTATCATATTTTTCACGTGTATATTTCTGATATATGTATGTATATACAAATACGTTTTTTGATATAGAAAAATAGAGTAATGAAATTACACTTTAATTATATTAATGAAACAGGTTCACCGTTTAATAATTATAGATTTATAATTTCATATCGTTAAGGAACCAAAAAGAATCATTACAATGTTCTTCTCCTCGTTAGCAGGTATTCTCTTACTGTTTCTTTATAATAAAGACTGATTGATATTTTACAGAAAGACGATTGTTTTTCACTTTTTACTCTATTTAGTGCCACAGAAATTGTGGAAAATATCCTTTCTTTTTTATTATGTTTTCATGCCGAGAACTTGACATGCTTTACATACTATAAAAAAATATAGCTCATATGTAATTATATTTTTCATCGTTCAAATTCTGAACAAATGCCCGCCATATGCATCCTGACTCATTTCATTGGTCAACGAATAATCTTAATTTCAATCGAAAATAAGCCAATCAAAATCAATAAGAGATATATATCGTTATATTCTTATAATAAGAAACAGATATTAGCCGCTTTCGCTATGTAATGGCTTTTATAACATTAACACCTACCGACTGCTAGGATTCTATGCCAAGTTTTCTGTAAGTTTCCCGATCTACTGTAACTAATCTACCTTCTACGCTTGAACAGTCCAATTCGATACAGTGTAACCTAGCACCCCATTCACAATGGCTCTGACCATCCTGGCGGTAATATTTGATTTGCAGGCAAGTAGTGAGATAACCGGAACCCAATACACGCATTGCTATCGACAATTCTTCACGATGACCACGAGCGCTTGCCGGTATGCCCTTCGTGCTATAATAAGCACTATAAGCGCAGGCTGTTCCATCCCGGGCACGTTCAATCGTTTCCACTTGTTTTCCTCCTATGCTGAGGGACCTATAAATTTGAAGATTATCATCTAGATAACTTTCGTACAGTTATATTATCAAACTACGATAAACACGAAAAAAGGTATAGAATATTAAAATATCAATTTCACAATATAAATAAAATAAAATAAGTAGTGTTCATAAAATTTGTGATAGACGTATAAGAGGTAATAACAGCAATCTCAATTCGAGAAATTGTAAAATATATCAACTACGATATTCGGGACTTATTACAGGTAATCTGAGACATCTGATTATATATCACGTATAACAATAATTATGTTCTTTACTTACAAGAAATTCAATTTAATCAAGTTATAGCATTACCAATTTACCTAGACGCTGTAATTAACTGTACCAGAGTAAATATTTCAATATTAATAATATAATATACAAAATTTAAATTAACTTGTAAGTATAAATTATTCATTCCAAATGACATTGTAGTAAATTAATGAAATTCTATGTAATAATAGTTTCAGAAGTATCCATAAATTTGTTGGTTGGCTTGTTACAATCACGCGAATGGAACTCTATCATTCTGATATAATCGTAAGTAAATAAGCAATTTACATTTTCACGCTACTAATTTATATTTTCTACTTTTGTTTTTAATCTACATTTTATTGATCTTTCCTCTTTAAACGAACCTATGTTTCTTAAAAGCAGAACGATCGTTAGATTCCATGGAAGAAGGAAAGCAATTGGTTCCCTTGCATTGACAAACAGGACAATTTGAAATTCTATCAAAAGGTTAATCGAATCCGGACACTCTTTAGTTTCAATTGTAGTCATGCATCGAGGCAAGTCTAATTTATCGATCGCAAATCGATAGGCGTGATTTGTACCTCAAATTCATTTGCATCTTCGCCTGGCCAGTATTCGAGATTCTGAACCTCGTTTCCGGCCCCTATTGTACACCACCTGGTATGTATCGTGGAGTCGCAATCATTTACAAAATAGTTACATCTCGACGCGTTGCAAAATGCTGAATTTTAATATCGTTCGTCCTACTCCACACTCTATAACGATCTCCATCGTATACAAAGTACGTTATAATGGACTAAAGAGGAACCTAGGAATTTTAACGGGTTTATATTTTAAATAAATAGCTGGTTAAATAAATTTAATAAATAAAGTACAACATTAGGATATAAAGGCAAATGTTTGCATGATCAAGTTATTAAAGGTAGTCTGTACGATAACTCATTTTTAAGAATAAAAATTGTTCAAACTAATTTTTCCGAATAAACATAAACGTCTGTATAGTAATTTTTGAGTTTTACGTTAATCCATGTAATATAAGTTCCGACTTTAATGTTCTTTTACAATGATATCGATATAATAAAAATATCTCTGCTATAGAGTTTCCAATATCGTTGAGCTTTGTTCAATCTCGTCGTTTTATGTTTAAATTTATGTTCAAACTTTGCCTTCAGCGATGCTCGTCAATTCTAACCCGTTTAATTTTTTTTTATTATTTTGGTAATCTTGGAAACGTGTCTATTTATGAATGGATATAAGCATAAAAATTGTACAAAGTAACAAAGAAAAAAGAAGATATTCCAGGTATTTGTTAAACGTTTCTTACAATTTGTATCAATGCCAAGTATTTGACTCGTGGAAAATGCAATTTTGCACTGATGTATCAGGTAAATTTACAGTGTTCCGAGAAAACAATACAGCTTCTATAAATATATAAATTTAAATATTAATATATTCCGCATGGTAACTGTGATATGACTTGGCTTCACTTCAAACCTTGTCGTGTATTTTTAGTGTTTTGCAGAAGCAAATGAACCCTACGCATATCAATGTCGAGCATCATTCACGTGTTAGAAATGAGTTCTCGTGACGCAAAAAGCATGTATAATTATTCGGTAACGTGGAGCCGACCGGCGTCAGAGATTTTGCCTGCCGTTTAAGCCGTTCGAATTACAGTCCTTGATATAGCGTTCCAAAGAAAAACTGGAACAGAAAATCGTTGTCCGACAAGTGTGTGCTATATTCCTTTTTATATTATGATAAAAAAAAGAATCACTTCTATTCATATAGGAGAAAAAAAGAAATTGATATTAACCTACATATACTTTACGAAAGACGAAATATTAATTATACCGTTATACAAGTATGAAAATTTATTAAAGTAAATAAGGAAATCGATAATGGAAATCCGATAATTCTTTTCTATTTTGTAAGTAAACCAAAATTTATTAATGGAGCGTTAATCCATTGACTTCGTGTCAATGAGAAATTCGATTCTTCGAAACTGTTTCATTTTACTTCTACGATTCTGCAATATTCACTGTCTAGTTTACATTTTCAGGTTTGAATAAAGCTTCCTCTTTTCTCTTCGAAAGGAATTCAGCGATTGCTTGAGTCAATAAGGTCGCTGTCGAGATGCTCAAAGGCGCACTCCTTAAACATTTAAATGACCCAGCCTGTCTAAGCTCACGACGAAATCGTAAAATCGAGATTCGTATTCGCCGCACGTTGCCTCTCGATACTATTCGTAAAGGCTGAAGCACGCTCGATCGTCCTAAAACTAAAAGGCACGAGGGTTTTTAGGGCAATGCATTCCGATCGTCGTACCAACGTCGATCAATCGCAGTCGCGGAATCGTTTTAGCAAAATAGCCGTCGGATATATTGATACGAATACTCGATACAGGCACAGACTGAAAAGAAGCTTCTCGTTGGCGAATTACGACTGATACCTGAAGGCGTATACACAGTCGATCGATACGTTTCTATCACTGTTCGTGAAAAATGTAACGAATTCTGGATCGTAAGTATTGCAACATCGACTCTTACCTTTTCTCTCCTTTTTTTCACTCGACGAGGAACATCCAATTTTCCCGATTAATCTCTCTGCAGATATTTTCTCTTTGGAAACAACAGCCTACCATGTCGAGCGTTTCTTAATGTACGAAAAGAAATTGCGTCTCCATAAGACTATCTGGCTCTTGGCAGAAGATTCTTCCAAGAAAAAAAGGGAAATGATAAGGATGGACTTTTACGAAGTACAAATCCAATTGCCTGATGTATTATAAGCACCTCTCAATATCGCTACTAGGCTTTCGTGACAATTTTCAGGCAAATCACGAGAATCAGTCGTGTATACGATTAAAGTTAAATCGACCGATATTTGGATAGGACGTAGATGTGTGCGTAGATATTTTCTTCGCCAGAGATTGCCGTAAGTAGTCATACAATTTTTATTAGTCACAAAACTCTGACAATTATTGTGTTTTATTGTTCTCTACCGAACTCTCTTCCTTTCTCTCTCAATTGGACAGAAATAAAAGGTGATAAGTTTAAAGCAAACGACCAAGAACGATTGAGGTGGGTGTAGGAAAAGGATTGCGGTACAAAGATAAGGCTAGAGATACGTCCGACTGATAACGAGCAACCGGGGAAAAAATTCTCACAAGGAAAGTGCAAGTCCTTCGGGTTACCGATTTAGTTGAAACTTTGCAGGTTTGTAGATTTCGTCACGCAGTTCAAGAATATATATCATTATAGTTGCAACTGCTCAATAGTTTTCGAGATACTTATGATTAAAGTTTTATTACATTTTTAATTAAAGATTTATTTTCAACAGTTTTCAAGTGAAGTTGTGGCCTAAAAGCAATATACGAAAATTCCTATGCTGGAAGTCCAGGTTTCGATTCCTGTCCATAGTTGATAGTATTTTTTCAATCCATTTTTTATTTTGTATTCATTTCTCGCCTATAAAAACATTGTAAATAAAGAATTATAAATAAAATTTCGTAATAAAAATATTGATTTTTTACGCTTTCCTATGTTAGTATATATTTATTACAAAATAATAAGAGTACTAAGTAAGAAAAAGAATTTTCTATAGCAATCTTATTTACTACAGAAAGAAAACGAAAATATAAATAATCATTAGATAGAGGAAATACAAAACCTATCGCTCATGTAAGTATTAATTATTAAATTAAACATTGTATAAGGAAATTTATTAATTTTCTACTGCTGAATTGATTTATTAAGATTTTAAATTCTTTTAAAATTAAAAACTTTTACCGCCTACGATCAGCGCCATCTATGATTTGGGCTCAAAAATCAAGAAAGTGATAGGAATATAGAATCGGCAAGGAGGTCGTCGAAGAGCTGATCACGTGACAGACAAGGACAGAGAGGGGATAGAAAAGGATAGAAGGGCTCCGACGGTGAAAAGTTAATAAATTACTCAATTTCCGTAATTAAATTGTGAACTTTTATAATTTCATTGCAAAGCTAGAACTTCAAGCAACATTCTTATATAATTTTCGTAAAGAATTTCGCGCTAATTTGTTAGTTATTAATTATCGTTTTATGGCGTCCATGATTTCGTAACGACAACCATCACAATCTTCCGTGAAAGTATTTAATACTCAACGAAATTAGAATCAAAATGTGATCAAAAGTTATATGAGAAGATTCGCAAGAACATTGTTTTTATAATGAGTGCATAAAGATTCACGAATTAATTGCGTAAAGAATAGTAATTAATGAAAAACCAATGGCGTCTTCGACAACAATTCAAACACTCCGTAAAATAATAATTAATAATTAATTAATTAGGGACAAATTTATATCGAAAAATATATTGGAAAGTTCTTGAAAGATCTGCCTTTATTACGCAATTGTAAAAATTCATAAATTAATCGCAGGAATTGAGTAATTAATTAATCTTCTAATAAAAATTCAACACAAGCTTCCAGATACAAATCATAGATGGCGCTGACTGTTCCTTTTTGAATTTTTATTAGAAAATTAATTAATTACTCAATTCCTGCGATTAATTTATGAACTTTTATAATTGCATCGTAAAGGCAGATCCTTCAAGAACTTTCACATATATTTTTCAATAGAAATTTGTCCCTAATTAATTAATTATTAATAATTATTCTACAAAATGTTTGAATTATTGTCGAAGATTGCCGAAGAGGCCATTGGTTTTTCATTAATTACTATCCTTTACGCAATTAATTTATAAAACTTTATGCACTAATTATAAGAACAATGTTCTTGCGAATCTTCTCATATCACTTTTGTTCACATTTTGATTCTAGTTTCGTTGAGTATTAAATATTTTCATGGAAGATCGTGATGGTCGCCGTTACGAAATCATAGACGCCATCAAACAAAAATTAATAACTAACAATTTAGAGCCAAATTCTTTACGAAAATTATATAGGAATGCAGCCTGAAGTTCCAGCTTTACAATGCAATTATAAAAGTTCA